AAAAGTCCCCCCCCCCCCCCCCCCAAGCTGTTTGGGAGTTTGTATTGTTTCTCCTATTAACACCTTTTAATACTCTTGGGAAACACCGGTAAAGTATTGAGTAGGTGCTAAGTGGAAGAAACAATGAAGAGTTGGTTAGATAGAAAGCTATGCAGCCCTGGGCAAGGAGTAAGTAGGAGGAATAGTCCTTTTAAGGAAGTGAAGCATTGGGAAGAAGAGCTGAAGAAAAGAATAATGGGACAAACACTGAAAAGACAAAACCGAGGAATGGAAAGAATATCCAGGAGGTCAACATATCTTTTGTGTAATACATAAAAGCTGGCTAGCCTTTGTCTGCCCAATATACATTTGAACTTAACACACCCCAAGAGAGGGAAGAGTCTAATTATTGACAAATAATATGTATTTCGTTTAGAGAAATCATTGGTTATCTACATGTATATTACAGAATTTCTGTAAGCTCCCATCATCCAGACAATTTTGATTCTTTTTTTTTTTTTTTTAATTTAAAACAAAGAAATCGGTACTAATTCTAGCTGAATTTAGATTGGTAGTTTCAAATGAACATGATCTTGAAAAAAAGTTGCCAGTGGAGGAACAGGTTCGTGTTTGAAACACAGAAAAGTTCGTTAAATTAATTCAGGTGTAGATATTTTACCTGCAGAAAAACTTCAGACCCTCTTAGCTACAGCAGTGCAATTCTTAAACTGTAGAAAATTCAGTTAACTGGACTATATTTGAAAAACTGTCCTTCACAGGTAGGTTTATTTTTAAATGGCAGTAGGGTCATAGTGGCTAGTTCTACATGTATTGTGGAGGACAAATACATAGCTAGCTTTGTTATGTGGAAAATCCAATTTGACTTTCAAGTTCCAGAATCAGAGAACCATTTTGCATTTCTTTAAGTTTAAAGTACTGTTACAGTGTGCTTAAGGTTTTCATTTGTACATCTGTCTTTCATTAGGGAAGGATTTCAGAAATTCAACCGACAGTGTCATCAGCAAAGTCTGCTGCCTGATAAATCTTCTCTGGTGTTTATTCTTTTATTGCACCAAACAGGATATGTGAAAGCTTCTCCCCACCCCCTTAAGCCCACCTCCTTATTTGTTCTTTAAAAAAAACCACCCACCCACCCCCCAAAAAAAAACCAAAAACAAACAACCTAGTTTGCCTTAGGCCTGTCATTTTGTAAATTATCTGACAAATAAGTTTAGTATTTGGGTGGGATGGGTGTGATAGTGTTTTAGGTTCAAAGGCATAATAAAAGTTTAGTCTCAGTGATACTGACTTTTCTATTGAGCTGAGTAAAGCAGTTTGTTCTTCCAGTGATGACATTATAAGTTATAAAAATAATCAAACTTGTTACACAGTTCTGTTTTAAAGTATTGGCCAAGAGTTTGTGATAGGTTTTGATAGTTATGGCACCTGAAAAGTACTTAGCTATATCCTTAAAGCACTGTACAGAATCAAGCCTAGTCATTCAGCTGTGAAAACAAACTAAGAAATTAAATTTAATTACTTTAAGCACTGCAGATTGTTTAGCTAATACTGCACTGATTATTTTTAGTCTAATATGGAGGATGACATTTTATTTTTCTCCTCCTAGTACTGCCCTATTTTAGATTGGTTTAATTTGATGCATAGATCTTAAGTTCATGCTCATTTCAGAGATTACATTTTCTTTAAGACTGACATTGACTAGCTTTGTGTTTAGGGGACTGTCTTTTTTACTCTTAAAGGTAGTATATACTAAAGTGAGCATACATTCATAATTACAACCTTCTCTGGTAGGCATGTACAAGGAATATTTTTTCAGATGCTCATCCTTTTGGGATTAGAAAGTTCCGAAGATAGAACAAAGATTTTGCTTTAATTTGTATATCAAGGAAATACAGTTTAAGTGAGATTCATATTTAAAACTAATCACAGGTGAAAGAAATTACCATGCACATAGCACAAATGACAGAGCCATATTCTGGAACCACATTGAGTGTGTGTCTCTAAACTATTGTCCTGACTTGGTTTCTCAGGAATGACTTAAAATAACTGTAGTTTATTGTAAGACTAATGGGATCAGCTTGAGAATAAAGTTAAGGTAGCCTTATTTAAAACAAAACAAAACCAAACCATGAAAAAAACAGAAGCAAACAACAAAACACAGTGAAACAAACAAAAATTGATTAAGCTAATGTCTGAATTTCTGCATCCCAGTAACGAAGTAGGATTTCTGTGCATTATTCCCTCCTTAGAGCCCAGGAGTAAAGAGGTATTATTATTAATATTAAGCTTTGAGTTATTGCTGAAGTGATCTAAAATGTGTGCTATTGCAGGGGTTTCTAAATGTTAGGCTTGTAAGACTACTGATAAAGATTTCCTGGTCACCTGGTGTTGGTTTCCTTTAAGGGTCGGTTGTGCAAAATTGCTTGAAATAGAAGGTTTGCAAATAACAGAATAGCTGTCAGAACCACAAGGCAAACTGGGAACACCCCCACTCCTTTTTTAATTGCTAATTTTGAGTGTTCCTGTGGTAAAAGCCTGCTGGAGGTGAATTTGGCTGGTCAGGAGAGCCTTCTAGTAGACCTCATTTCAAAACGGACAACAGGTTGAAATTTTAAAATATATTAAAACTGTGTTTGGTTCCATGTAATATTTTTTGGTCTTTGATGTTGAAAAAAACCCAATTTATTAACATTCCACTGGAAAACATTCTGAATTGTAACCTTTCTTATTTATCCATTAAATTTAGGGTATTCTCATGTGTTCCACACAGAGATATTCTTCTCATGGTTTAGGTAAAATACAGCTTTTATCCTGTGTTGTTTGGAAATGCCATACTAAAAAGCTATAAAAATATCCACTTATGACACAAGAGAGAACATCTCTGCAACACAATTAATTTACTTTTCCTAGTAAGAAGTTAGGTTTACAAAATCTTTTAGAATTGCTAGTAAAAATACTTATTTATCTGTGCCAATTAGTTACATGTGAACTCCCACATTCCTGTGGTCCAGACTAGGCCAGGTACAAGGGACAAGGTCCTTGCCAAGCTGCCAGTACAAACATCTTTTTGTAAGCTTACTCTTTTTCAGGCAAGCCATTTAAAACAGACTATGGTATTGACTGTAGATTAGAGGCATAGTGTTTGGCAGATCCCTGAATTTTAAAATGGAGGAAGGCAAAACATGCAAAGGAAATAGGGAAATGGTATCTGAGAAATTCAGTGTCAGCAGCTTAGCAGTAAAATTGTATGGATAATACCTTATTATATAGTGCTATAACCTTTTACATACTTTGTAGAGTAGTACTAATAGAAATAACAAACCCTAAAAACAACTGATAGTTGCCAAGAAAGACAGAAGTGTATGTCTTCAGTCAGGATAAAATCTCTGAATTTATTTTTTACTGGACCCGAACATTTTTACCGTAATCACACTAATAATCATAGTAAATTGAAAGTAGCTTAGTCACAAAGACTTAACCTTTAAGAAAAGTCTCAAGAAAACAGGGGATGTATGACTTGAATATCTGCAAACAGCTGTGTTTGTTTCTAGCCGCCAGAATCAACTTAAAGATCAGCAACACCAGCAGCAGCAGCAGGTAGTGTCCCTGTGTCAGCTTCCAGATGAGGCAGAGTGTCTGACTGTGCCAAGGTACAAGCGAGACCTAGTGCAGAAACTCAAGATCCTGAGGCAAGAGCTGTCACAGCAGCAACCTCAAGCTGGCCATTGTCGTATTGAGGTCTCCAGGGAAGAGATTTTTGAGGTAATTTGAGAATTTGACCCATTTCTTAACATTGAGGGAAGGGGAGGAGGGTTGTTCACAACTGTCTAAAGAAGTCATTCAGTTAGATGAAATCTTGAAGTCTGGAGTTAAAGCTGGAATTTTACCGGTGGCAAATGGGAAGAGGAAGTATTTCAAGGGGATGTTAAGAACAGTTGTGTACTTAAAGTAGATGTATTTACCCTGTAGTGAAAAAGAAAAATGAGGAAAGCATTCCCTGTGGCTGGAGATGTACAGACTGTGGCAGGGACTGAGGAAGGAGTCCAAGCACTTCATGTATTTGGAGATACGGTCTCACTTCATCCTTGAATATTAATGTCTGTTACAGAGGGAATGTTACAAATTGAAAACCAAACAATTACTAGTGATCTTTGATCTATTGTAACTTAAGTAAAATTACTGTTGAACAGCATTCATCTTTGGAGTTTGGATTACTGAGCATTTATCTGAATTCTGGTTGATGGGGGGTTTTTTCTTCTTTTTTTTTTCTTCCCAGAATCAGACCAATTTTATGAATTGTCTAGGCTTCTGAATGACCAGAGATGCCCACAGTGGGATATCTGCGTTTTATTTTGTGACATAATTCAGCAGAATAGATTAAACACAGTTATAATTCATTGGCTTTTTCTGGAGAACAGTCTGTCTTCTTGAGAACTTTATCACCCATCCCGCCCATCCCCGTTGCATTTTTACCCCACCCACAAACTTGATAGACCCACTGTGTTGTCACAGTTTTTCCCAGCAAAGAAAAATTTGTGTTGGTCTTCCCTTTGGAGACAGTCAAATTGGGTCATAATCAACTAAAGAAAGGGAGGAAAGGCTGCTGTACAGAAGTGAAAATTACTATGTTCTTGTTCTGAAAACTAAGTCGAGTATGTTGGGTCCCAGGCACACCCACCTTTTCTGTTCTGCAAAGCCAAAGCTCAGAGCACCCATACTGGACATAAATAAAAACTAGAAAATTTGGGTTTAATTCCTTTTTTTAAATTAGCATTTGTTTTGCCTCTTTCAGCTTTCTTTTTGCATTTTCTTGGTGAAGTCTTACCAATATAGGAATAGTTCTGTAGATTTACTGGGATGGCATTGATGCTTCTGTTCTTGAGATGCTTCTTGAAGGTTTGCACATGTGTTATACCCAGAGTAGAAGCTCCACTGTTGGCTTTTCAGACTACAAAAATTGTGAGCCTTTACGTGAAACAAAAGGAGTTTACTGACACAAATTTTAATTTTTTATAAGTTATGTGAGAATGAGAGAGAGAATGTTCCGATCACTGTACACCTCTGGCAATTTAACAGAAGGTGGTGGTTCTCACGTATCTGTTTTATTTGACAAGTGTTGTTATATTTGTAGAAAACTAAGTAACAGTCTGTGATTTGAGAAACTGGTTAGTATCTAGGAAAATAGTATCCCCTTTAATGGTATCTCCTTCGGACTTGGAGTCTGAGACCTCCTTCATTTCTAATAAACAGTTGTAGCTTCTTGTCTGTAAATAGCAGTTAATAAAAGAAAGTGTTATGTGTTTACAGGAGTCCTACAGGCAAGTGATGAAGATGAGGCCAAAAGACCTGTGGAAACGATTAATGATAAAATTTCGTGGTGAGGAAGGCCTTGATTATGGAGGTGTTGCCAGGTAAACAGTCGGTCCTCTGTTTCTTCCCCCGCACCCCAGCCCCACCAACTACACTTGTGCTTTGAATCCTAAGCCAGCCTAGTATCAACTCTGTTTCTTTTTTACATTATTCTTATTTATATTTATTTCTGTAACACATTGTATGTCAGAAGAATATGTATTTTCAGATAGTCTTTTAAAGGAAAAACTGCATCAAAATAACCCTCATTTATTGGAAATAAATCAAAATGCATGTTACAGATCGCATCAGACATCTATTATATATGTGAGACAGGCTTTTGGTATCTGTTGAAATTACCATATTTTTCTTTGGTTAGTAAAGCTTGGGTATCTGAGAATTTATACCACTAAATACTTGGCTTTGTGGCAGAACTTTGATCAAAAATAAGCTTTATTGCAAGTTGTCACTACTGTTTGAAGCAAAATGTTAAAAACTAGCAGTTAGTATGCAACTTAAGCCTGTCAATAGTCTGAGCTTATTTTTTTCTTGCTTATAAAAAGTGGCATTTATTGATTGTATGAAGATGTTCTTCACATTTTAAAACAGTGTTAGGAATTTTATTGGCCAGTTGCACAGATGCTGGTTTACTTCACTGAACATATTCCCCACCTCTGGCATGTGGATCTACTCTCTCTAAATGAGTGTGACTCATTTAGGAGTATTCATTGTTTGCATTGAATTGCATTTTTTTACCATTAGTATTCATTTCAAAGTAAAGACAATGTTCCCAAACATCCCTTCTGCATCTGTAGTTGGTGTGTGGCAAGTAACCGCTGGAACCTAGGCTGTTACGTTGCGTGCGTCTTCATGAGTTTGCAAATGGCCAGTAGAGTTTTCACTTCATCCGTTCCTAAATATTTTAACATGCTAATTAGCCATAACTAGTAAAACAGTCTTGTTGAATCAACTACTATTAATTGTTTGATGATAATAGCATTTAAAATAAAGAAGTTACAGATGCTATTGTGCACTATTTTTCAAAGTATCTGCTAGTATTTTTCAGCGTGGGTTTTGTTTCTAGTCTGTACGCCATGGAGCCTTTGCTATCTTCCATACATGAATACAGGAAGACCAAACTAGAAAGTGTTACAGTTTTTGCAATTCTTAGACCATTATTTACTGATTTGTGAACATGTGATTAAAACTTTAATTAAATATATCCATTACCTGAAGACGGTTTATATTAAAAGCCTCAAATTGAACAAATCGGTAGTATAGTCAATAGAATACGTAGTGTCTTGTCCTTAGCGTGTAATGGATGATGGAGAATCATAGTCAGAAACTCTCTTGGAAATAAGTAACCTGGAGAAAAATCTTGGAAGGCTGGGAAATACATCAGCTGTCAGGTGCTGTGCAGTTATTGAGCCAGTAAAAATAATTCTGGTTTCAGCCTTATCTAAGCATGTTCAGAGATAACTTCCTTCACATTTATGTTTAACAGTAGGATTAAAAAAATCATACTATTTTGAAAAGATTCTCAGTGTTGGAATGCATTTGTCTAAAGTACACAATAAATTATTTTATTTTCTTCAGGGAGTGGCTCTACCTATTGTCACATGAAATGCTGAATCCATATTATGGTCTCTTCCAATATTCCCGAGATGATATCTATACACTGCAAATCAACCCAGACTCTGCAGTCAACCCGGTATGACTGGTAACATGAGTTTTGTAAAAGATCATTTTGTGATTAAAAAATAAATACATATGGAGTGTGTTCTAGACTTAGGAACCTAATTCTCACATTAGTGTTGCTAGAGACTGAATTTGTGCAATAATATGATAATTTGTTTTTAGTACTGATCAAAGAAACTTCTGAAATGTGTTCTTAATTTTCTGTAAGATGTCAAATTTATGTTTCCTTTGGGAGAAATTAAGTTTATTTTGATTCTTAGCAGTAAGACTTCTGGATGGGAAGCAATACACTCAATTCGCTGTGTATAAAAACAAACAAAACAGAAAGCTCTGGATAGGGTTTTGGGTTTTGGGGTTGGTGTTGGTTTTTTTTTTTCTTTTCTTTGTATTGAAATATTATTTCATATTCAGCAGATATAACCTGGAGGTCTTAGTTAGCTGAATGGCTTGGTCTCTTCTTTCTATTCTAGGAACACTTATCATATTTCCATTTTGTTGGACGGATAATGGGGATGGCTGTGTTTCACGGACACTATATTGATGGGGGCTTCACGTTGCCTTTCTATAAGCAGTTGCTAGGGAAGCCAATTACTTTGGATGATATGGAATTGGTTGACCCTGATCTGCATAACAGCTTAGTCTGGATACTGTATGTATTGTGTATTATATTTCACAATGTTAGAATTCTGTCTCGGTTAATACGTGATAATGTTCCTAAATCCAGTTGAAAAGAAATGAAGTGTATTTTGATCTGCTCAGGCAGATTTAAGAAATCTTTCTTGTACAGTTCAGCTTCTTTAAGGCTTAACATGCTCAAGGTATTCAAATTTGGGGGTCAGGGAGGGGAGATAAATGATTAGTGAACTGTAAAGTGCTCGGTTCATAAATTTCAATTTATTTATTTTGCCTATTTTTAACAGTAACATGTTTTTAAAATAGAACATTGAAACTTTGATAATGGTTTTAAAATATAACATAGTAAAAATGTATGTTCACCTTTTGCTTCCAAGCAGTAATTTGAAATGCTATTGAAAAACTAAATTGTGATGTCTGTCAGATATATTATGCCTGTAATATGTTTGTAGAATATGTTTTTGCTGAGTCACTTGCTTATTTCTTTCCACCAGTGAGAATGATATCACAGGAGTCTTGGATCATACGTTTTGTGTAGAACACAATGCATACGGGGAAATTATTCAACATGAACTGAAACCCAACGGCAAAAGCATCCCCGTGACAGAGGAAAACAAAAAGGAGTATGTCAGGTACATGAATACCTTTTCCAAAGTTTTTTATATTTCCTGTGGTGGGGAGGAACTTTTACTTATTTGATGTAATTGACAGTGCTATGTTGGTTTTTTTTCTAAGAGTAGTAGTGCAGTGGTGGTGTTGTGTGTATTCCTGTCAGTAAGGCCATTTTTTTTTTTGGCTGGATAAATTGCAGGTCTATGGTATTTGAATACACCTTTCACAAAACCAATTTGCACTTGCTTGCAGACTTTATGTAAACTGGCGATTTTTACGAGGAATTGAAGCTCAGTTTCTGGCCCTACAGAAGGGATTTAATGAAGTAATCCCACAACATCTGCTGAAGACATTTGATGAGAAAGAGTTAGAGGTCAGTCCACTAATGTTACGTTATGTCGTCAAGTGTAACAATAAAAGCCTGAGGCATTCTTCTGAGACTGAGTAAGGTGCGAAGTTGTATCCCCGGTGCTTTAGGGGTTTGCAGGTGCGCTATTGCAAGAAATACAGTTAGTATAAGAGGTTACCAGGTCACGCAGTCACTAAGACTGCGTGTACCTTCCACTGAGAGCTACGAGAGGGTTTCTCCAGGCAACATTTCATAGCAACTGCAGAAGTGGTAGGAAAGGAGACCCTCTCCTATACCTGAAAACCCAGCTGAACCTACTGAGAAGTATCTGCAGTGATCTCAGATTGTTTCAGAGAGAGTTACTCCAGCAGAGGTGGTGGTGCATATTTCTCATGGTACAGTTTCACAATATTAATTCAGTGCTGCCAGGAAAATAGGCTGTCACTCCCTTCCACCTCCCACCGCTTGCTCCCAGCCCTTCCAGTGCGCTGCACTGACTTTGGTGTCAGGCAGCTATGTGGTTTTGCAGAGCTGAGTTATGCCAGACTAAATTGGCCCTGTAAATACAGTGTAAGGAAAGGTGCTGTCTGGCGCTGTCACTGACAAATGTGCTACAAAATGTCGAGATTGGCATCCAAACAATATCCTCTCAAGGCAAATCCCATAGATCCCAAGCTTGTTTTAAAACTGAAATCTAATATACAGTCTGTTAGCTGTGGAGCTGAGGTTTTTGCCATATAAAATGGCCACAAGGTAAATTATTCTGTTCACTGTACTAGAATGTCAGTGATTGCTTTTCTTTTATCCTGAATATTCTCACTCAACAGCAGTGAGCCAGCCATCCTGTTAGCCTAGAATAATTTTGTGGATGCAGAATAAGAAAGGGGAAGATCCAGTATTCTTACTCACTAGAAAATGTCTTCGTAATCATATTCCTGTTGAGCTTAAACTGATGCGTTGTGGATCTCTATTTTAGAAGCCCTGAAAGCTCTTCATCAGGAGAGAAGTCTGATTTGTATTGATGTGTTGTATGACAAGAACAAGATTACTTTTGAGGGTCCAGAGTTGGCCTGGCCAAACCACACCCTCAGCTACACTCTGGAAAGAAATAGAGTTCAAATGTGACTTATGCATGCACTTTCACACATGGGTAGAATCTGTCTTCTGTTATTTAATTGACAGGTCAAGACACTTTTGTATAAGCTTATGGACCGGTTGATTTTAATTTTTTTTAATTTGAATTGAGGCCATTGTGTACAAAGGTAAGATTTAAAAAAAAAAAGTTATACTTCTGCAGTGCTTAAGATTAGTGAGAGGTTATAATTTGCCTTTGGTATAAAATCTGTCATTTTTTCAAATTCAGTTATTCATCATTTGGCTAGCTCCCAAACAATTTTTATGTTTACCAATGATGAAATATTTGATTATATTTTAAATTTACAGCTCATCATTTGTGGACTGGGAAAAATCGATGTTAATGACTGGAAGGCAAATACGAGGTTAAAACACTGTACCCCAGACAGCAACATCGTGAAATGGTTCTGGAAAGCTGTGGAGTTTTTTGATGAAGAGAGGAGAGCGCGACTTCTCCAGTTTGTGACTGGCTCATCCAGAGTGCCTCTGCAGGGCTTCAAGGCATTACAAGGTAAGTTTCTCCAGAAGTAACTGCAAATGCCTGTGCTTGGAGGAAGCAATAGGACACATCACAGAAACGTTAGCTGAAAATGAGGCTGGTTGGCTGCAATGTGACTTTTTAAGTGTGATTTTTAACGGTCTGATGAATAACAATCACAAATAGTCTTTTGTGTGTGTTTATTACCTTGGTATTCAGCTGTAAATGGCTCTTTTGTTTCAGTTATGTGCTTCCTTCTCTGGCAAGAAGTTCGCATCAGTGGAGATCTTAGTGGGGTTCTCCTCCTGGTTTTCCTAGAGGCCTGTTCTTTAATTTCTATCTTTTACAAGCCCTCATCACCTGTACAGCTCTGAGACCAGAAAACACCAACATGCAGTGTTCTTGTGCCTCTGCTGTCAGAATCGCATCGTAACGCTGACTACTCTTACTGTAAGAGTGACATAATCACAGGCAGCACAGGCATCAGAAACGATCACCTTAATTACTGACATGTCTTCTGAACTTCAGTTGAAGCTCTGGGTCTCTGTTGTAGCAGCTTTGGCTGCAACCCATGCTGCTTTGTGAACACAGTAGTTATTCTATTTTACCCTCTCACAAGATGAGAGAAAACTGCCCGGGGGAAACATTGACCATAAGCCATTTTAACAGGTAGAAGACTCCAGCAGAACACAAATGCTATGATAACAGCTGCTATGTACAAAAGCCAGTTGCTGTAGAAATGTCTTCTATCTGATAACGAAGGGATAATGGAGAAGCCCTCATTTTCTTTTTCCTCCATTCTTGAGCTCTAAAGTGTTCAGGAGCTTTAGAAGCTCAGGAATATTGAGGGTTTTTTAAGGCTCTAGTTACTTTAAGCCAAGTATGGTACTTTTAAGTGATAAGCATTTAAATAATATTGCAAAGGGTGGAGGGTCTTGTTTAGGCAAACTGTGTAACTGTTAACCACCTCAGAACAGTTACAAGTAACTAACCTTACTATTGATTTGCATACTGTTACTGTAATGGACTGAGCTGTCTGGAGGATGGTAATGGAAGTAATGCCACTTTAATGTCATCTGCACTGCAAGTTTTAGTATGACTGTACTAGTAAAACAAGTATTTCTGTGAGCAGATGAAGCCTGCTTTCCTACAGATTTGAACGTGAAGATTGTCATGTTTTAGACTGAGTTGTACTACTAACACAGCACAACAAGCTCACATTCTTATTTAACAGCAGAGAGTCCCCATGAGAAACACTGACGCTGTGGATTATGTTCTTTAATGTCTCTCTACTCAGGCAAGAATTCCAGTTTTGCTAAGGTTAGGGCATTTATAACCTCTTCTGTCCTTTGTGAAATCTTCAATGTATACTAAGTCTAAAAGATTGCTGTGCTGCAGTCTTTTTTCTTTAGCAGAGAGATTAAGGGGATCTCTATATAGTCAGATTAATAAAATTTTAAGAAGTCGGTATTGTGACTCCTCTATTGAATTTGAATGGAATTGGCCACTACTTAAGACCTGTTACAAAATGAGGACAGATACAGCTGCCTAAGTTTTGTTCCCCAGGAATGGTGAGAGAACTTAAATTCAAAACTGTTAGAATTATATCGTACACTGTGTAAAACAGGCGTTTTATTCTTCCTTATCAATGCTTTGTTCTTGTTTATCTCTCAGTGGTTTAAATAGCTGCATGGTTATCGTGTGTGGGTGGAGGGGAGGAATCTGTCTGATAGGTGCTGTTTGTTCTAATTTTTTTCCTGCCTGTTTATGATTTCTGCTTTCCTTGTGCATAGCTTCTCTTTTTTTATGGTTTTAGTTATATTTTTTGTTGTTGCAGTGCAACAAAGACATTTCATATTATGCAGTACAGTAGTAGTAGAGATCTTTTCTGGATTTTCAGGTGCTGCAGGCCCACGACTATTTACAATACACCAGATTGATGCCAGCACTAACAATTTGCCGAAAGCTCATACCTGGTAAGACTTTTTTGGGTCTCTGTTGTGATATATAGAATAAGACCAATTTGCTGTCTCTATATTTTGAGCAGTCTTCCCCCCCGCCCCCTTTTCTGACGTAACAAATGCTATCTATTACAGAGTCATAAAGGTGTGAAAACTAGAGATTGCTTTTATTTATATGAAGTTCTGTTGGCCTTGTTAAGTATTGCTTTGTCATCATTTCAAGTACATTAAATGAAGTGTAAGAGAACTTTGCTAGGTGATGCCTGAAGTTCCAGACAGCTGAAACTTTTCTGCCTTCTGTCCACACAGCTTTAACCGAATAGACATTCCTCCTTACGAAAGCTATGACAAGCTATACGAGAAGCTGCTAACTGCCATTGAAGAAACATGTGGGTTTGCTGTGGAATGACCCTTCACAGGCTTACCTGAGACTCTATTTATACTCCTATCAGCCAGAAAGCCCTTCCCTCAGCCAAGACTCAAGAGATGCTTGAAATACAGGAAACTTTCCCTTTTCTACACTAGGACACTGGGAGGGAAAGGACAACTTTGGACTTTTTTTTAATTTTTTTTTTTTTTTTTTTTATTTCAAGAAAATAGGTTCTGTGGTTCCTGCCATAGGATCATTCAGCTGCTATTAAAAACTAATATCTTGAACATACAGAATGCTGACTTTTCCTACATTTCAACAGTTAAGCAGTATTCTATACTTAAAGACTACTACTATTTTTGTAAAAGGTAATCTATTATATTTGCCTACCTGATTTCTATTCTCAGATACCAAGACACAACTTCAGCAGTCGGTACAAGTCACGTTTCAGCCTGTTTTAAATGTATGATACTGAACAGCATCTATACCTGCTATTTTTGGAAAAAATATTTTGGATTATTCTAACTTCGCATAAAATTGGCTGAAAGAATCATTAATCTTTTTAATTAAAGCCACTTACATGTTAACTGCATTTTCTTATAGTAAAAACATTATATTCTGCAATGTAAATTCAACGTAAATGTTACCACAGGGGGCTTTTTTATATTTTTCAAGCATGAATTACAAATACAATGTTTTGGGGTCTTATTTATATCATTTGTCAGATTCCTTAAACAAAATTTCTAGTGTGAGTGACACATACTGTATTTGGTACAGTACTTGTGTTAACATGTGGAATAGACCTTTTTTAATGAACAGTAGAAGTTTTGATTTTTTTAAAACAGCATTTTTCTAACAAGTCTGTCAAGAGTATTTTTTGTTGCTTTTGACTTTAAATTGAAACACTGCATTTTTCAACTTTTTAAGCATGCTGATGAGGTGATATTTGACAGCAGAAGCCTGTCAGCAGTTCGTTTCAGAACCCATCCTGTCCAGTCAACCAAAGTTTGTTTGAATGCAGCCAAATCACATTATATATTTCTTGATGCTAAAGATTTATCAGGTAAAACATGTTGTAATCTTTGTCTAGCTGCTCGTGACATGTGGGTTTAAGTTACAACTAAGGAAAAATGGTGTATTAAGTGAAATATGTGTAATGTGCTTTGAAAATGAGGTTTTACAAGCACATAATTTATTGATTGTAGGGATGGAAGTAAGTATATATATGAATTATAACATGGGTTGATCTCTTCAAAGGGGAATAAAATGCACTACCAGTAGAGGGAACTGAACTTTGAAGTTAGTTTGGAAATTTTCAGTTAAGATCTGTATGATCTGCTCGTGGTGTGTAGATAAATCAGTCTGCTTAAGAGATGGTGGCATTCTCCTCTCAGCGGTGAAAATATTTGGAGTAAGTAGTGTTTTTTTCCAATCAGTGTTGTGTTTTTTTTAACTTAGGTTACAGTTAATCATCAAATCTGCACTATTTTTACACTGCCAATGAGAAGAAAGTCAAGGGTATTGAAAATGCTATAAGAATGGGATGTAAAGAGCTGTTCCATTTTTGCAGTGTAAGTCACACAGTGAACTAGCTAATTTTCTGTCTGTTCTATGGAGCTTGAACTTAATTTTGTTCTGCCAAATCTGACTGCCACAGTGAGTAAACTACTACTGGATGTTGTGTATTAGAATAGTGGGCAATGGACTACTTTTGTAGAATTGTGGTAAGAATCTGGTGAGCCAAATCCACATGTTCATGTGATTTTTATTTTTTTTTGTACAGCTGTTGCTGGAAGGTTTTTTCTAAGAGACTTACTTCCCATTCTGAGCTGGCTGCAGAGATGAGGCTACTTAGGGATGTAAACATAAAGCCAAGAAACTTACTTTGACAGCCAGGTTTGAAATATATCAGACCCTTTTTTTCTTCATTTCAAGGGACTGTTGCACTCATGTAAAATGGCTGGTACCTTTGTGTCTACAGTTGGGATCCCTAACTCACGGCTTTCAGATAATACTGTTACCAGAGAAGCTACCACTACATCTGTCCAGGTTGCTTGGGAGAACAAAGTAGGAAGTAGGTTGTTGCCCAGTGTGTTTCTTAGTACTGCTGCCTGTGGTTGGGACCACTGCTTTAGACACTCCCAAAGACCTCTTCTCACCCCCCTGCAAGTTTTGAGGTATGATGTGAATTACTATTTCCAGAGACTTTACAGAGACAGGTTCTTCTGACCACTGTTCACAGGATAGATGCTCCAGTGCTGTATAAGTGGGTTTTTTTGGTTTAAAGACTAAAAATCCATACTTCAGTGTCCTCACTTACCAGCCACTGAGGAATGATTCTAT